GGAAGCAATTACTATTTGGTCGGAGGCCATCACTAGTAGGTTGGAGGACATCACTATTTGGTTGGAAGCCATCACTATTTGGTTGGTGGCCATCACTAGCAGGTTGGAGGCCATCACTAGTAGGTTGGAGGCCATCGCTAGCTTGGAGGCCATCACTATTTGGTTGGTGGCAATCACTATTTAGTTGGAGGCCTTCACTATTTGGTTGGAGTCCATCACTATTTGGTTGGAGGCCTCCAACCTCCTCGTGATGGCCGCCGAGGCCATCACTATTTGGTTGGAGGGCCATCACTGTAGGTTGGAGGCCATCTATCAAGGCCATCACTATGGAGGCCATCACTAGTAGGTTGGAGGCCATCACTATTTGGGTTGCACTAGTAGGTTGGAGGCCATCACTAGTAGGTTGGAGGCCATCGCTAGTAATTTGGTTTGGAGGCCATCGCTAGTTTGGAGGCCGTCGCTAGTAGTTTGGAGGCCGTCGCTAGTAGTTTGGAGGCCGTCGCTAGTAGTTTGAAGGCCATCGCTAGTAGTTTATTGCTCTTAGGTTGGAGGCCATCGCTATTAGGTTATATCAAGCATCTTAAAGTCTGTACTTCAATGAAAAGCCTTGTCACAAGCAAAGGCAAGTAAAGCAAGGCGCCACCACAAATTCTCAAAACTGATGGCACAGGCAGCACAGGCTTTCTTTGGCAATGCGATGATGCCGAAAGGATCAAAGAAGCGCTCGCGCTCAGTGAAACAGCGGCAATGTCATGCCGATTCCTGATCGTGCCCCTCAGCCCCGACCCAATCTACACAGGTTGCGTTTTTCAACGGTCTGATCCTTAGCTGTCTTGGCAACATTTGGCTTTGCCAAGAAGTCAGTAACGAGGATGCTGCATCTTCAAACAAGTATGAAAAATGCATGAGAAACTACCTATTGTCCCACCTTTGGAATAGCTACCAAGCAGCATTAGTGGCCAACGCTGTCAAGGGCATGTTTCCGGACAGCACGTCAAAGGTTCCCCGGCCTGGCCCATTCAGTTCATTTTGGAAACAATACAGAATGTACTGATTCCAGCGACGACCTAAAAATTACGGAGTGACATTCAGTTCATTCTGTCAAAATGGTCGTGCCCTCAGAAGATGTTGCTTGCACTATCTCCACCACGGAAAACTGACACACACATTTATATATATATATAGGCGCGTGTGCTTTTCGGGGCCCCCTGGGATGAAGCAATTGATAAGATATAATACTAATACCGTAAAGCGCGCCCATATATATAGAGATATATATATACTCTCACAAAAGCATTGTACACAGACTGCATGAAACCTTTCATACGTCCAGGTTCTCGACACTCTACATGCTTTCTACATGCGCAAAGCTGCATTGATATTCTTCATTGCAGAGAGTATATTGCGCAGACAACCGCCCATATCTTCGAGGCGGTGAACTTCTTCTAAGCTCTTCAGGTGTGTCAATGCAGTTTGCAGTTCTAATTTGCGACGCTTGCTACGATCAGATGACGATGAAGATGAGCTAGAAGACGAAGATGATGAAGGTGCAGCATTGGCCTTACCATCCTTGGGGGTGTCTCGTTGATGCCATCCTCCTCAACGATGTTGTCATCCTTTGGCTGTGATTCAACGGCTTCTGAGCAATCGTCCTCAAAGATGTTGTCATCTTTTGGCTGTGATTCAACTGCTTCTGAGCAATCCTCCTCACCAACGGCTTCTGAGCAGGAACTTTCAGCAGCTGGTTTGTACTCCAACGCCAACATATTCTTTTTCTGCACGCCCTTCAAATCTTTCAAGAGCCACGTGTCGAGAACATCTTGCGCTTGACGAGACCACTGGCCAGAAATGCCAGGAGCTAAATTCAAGCTTCTTTGGACATAGTGAATACGCGCTTGAATCTGTCTCGGCGTTCGTTGTTTTTTTGGCTCACACGCTGCTTTGCGGCCACTGACGAGGTGTAGGTGGAGTTCATGGGCGTTGGGCACTGGCACTGACGGCTCAGCATCAGTCCTTGGGTCTGGACGGTAGATGACAGGGTCCACAGTCCGAAAATCCAACGAAAACCGCCCAGGTTCTACTTCAGAACCCATAGCCACAAACATTGCCTTCTTGGGCGCCATTGATCAGATCAATCAGATGAATCAGTTGGCGCAGATGATACAGTTGAATCAGATGATACAGTTGGATCAGATGAATAGTTGAAGGATTTGATACAGTTGGGTCAGATGATTCAACATGAATTGCTTCCCAGGGCACCCCGAAAAGTCCACGAGCCCATATATACAGAGAGAGAGAGAAAAAAAAGAACTGACACATATATCTATATATATATATTACATACATACTGTATACTATATGCGTTGTATGTTACATATTAGGTATTACAAATTAGATATTTTATTGATATGTGTATATGTCTGTATATATGTATTTATATCGTAGATGGTTGCTGGAAGAGAAGAAAACCTTGTAAGGCACACCTTGGTCGAAGAAATACTTCATGTGCACCAACTCCTTGTGATTCTGCCTTGGTCTCAGTCCAGACAAAAGCTTGTGAGATGATGTTGACAACAAAAGCCCCTCCAAAATCAAAGTAGTGCTCCAGGCAGTGCTCCCAGTGCTCTGCGATTGAGTCCCAGTGCAGCCAAGTCCTTGCTTTTGGGTCTTGAAGTTGAACTATCCATTCCTGACAGAGAAAGCTGTGAGGTCCAGGTAGGTAGGGAGAGTAGTAGCAAGGGTAAGTCGTTGCAAGGAAGCTAATAGGCGCGGTACTCAGAAGGGCTCGGGTTCGCATGATCGAAACGATTCCCAATTCTTTATGGCGCTTAGCTTCTTGAACAAAAGGCTACCCCAACTTCCCCTCCCATGGTGCTACATTTTGTGGCCTTGTAGTTGTCATTGTCCATAAAGCGGCACGCCCGTCTGTAGGCACACTTGATCGTCCTCAGCAAGCACCGGCAGGCTGCGCCGCAGGCCGCGCAGGCCCGGCGAGCTGCTGGGATCCCAACATCTCATCGTCAGCACTCTGGTGGTTCCTACAGATCGCTTCTTCTGTAAGAATGATACTAGTAGCAATGCCTTTAGTGGCGTCCTTGCCCCTAGTAGTAGTGCCAGGAGCCCCTAGCAGCGCCCTTGCTCCCAGTAGTAGTAGCTTCCTTGCTCCTAGTAGTAAGGCCAGGAGCTCCTAGTAGCGTCCTTGCTCCTAGTAGTGAGGCCAGCAGCCCCTAACCCTAGTGGCCCTAATAGTAGTGCCAGGAGCCCCCAGTAGCGTCCTTGCTCCTCTGGTAGTGAGGCCAGCAGCCCCTAAGCTACTGGTAGCAATGCCAGGAGCCCCTAGTGGCGTCCTTGCTCCTAGCAGTAGTGCCAGGAGCCTCTAGTAGCGTAGCAAGGCCAGGAGCCCCTAGTAGCGTCCTTCCTCCTAGTAGTGAGGCCAGCAGCCCCTAAGCTACTAGTAGCAATGCCAGGAGCCCCTAGTGGCGTCCTT